AACCATCGCTTTTTTGAATTTGTGATTTATGCCTAGATAAGCAGCACTAAAGTGGTCTGCAGACAGCATCCACCCATGGGACAATTATTTCGGCGTTATCGTCCACACGCACACAAGCTACTCAACGCTAAGCACGTCAACCGACTGCAGTGGTATCACTACTTAGTTTGCTGAGCGCCAACCAGGTCTCAAATGCACGTTGGCCACTAGAACGCTCATTTGCAGGTACTCGCGAACGACTAGTATCCAATCAAGGGAAACCCCAAGGCTATCAATGAGTGGGACCTCAAGAATACTGCCAGTAACTGAGACTTCAATTTTTTGACTTTGGTGTAGGTAGTATAGCCCATATTTGTACTGTATAAGGAAATCATGCTGAAGCTATAGGGACTCACAGTTCCACCTCAATGAATGCTCTGCACAAAGACATGGATGCACTTTAGGAACTCCGAAATAACTGCTAAAATGTGGTACTTAAAGTATATCTGTTTCATAAACACTTGTTTATATGGAAAATGTGTTTACCACAACTACACGGACATTAATGGGGTCCCGAAAAGTCCTGCTTTCTATCTTGGAACCAGTGAGAAATAATCTACTGCATACTTCGGAGCCTGAAATTGACACCAGGAGTAAACAAGGCTATGGATCTTTGACGAGTGCCAATTGCTTAGGATTCGAGATTGGGAACTGCCAAAGGAAAGAAGCAATACTTCCTTCGTGTAGACCTTACATGAGGTCAGTAGCCGCACTGACGCTTCGTATTTAGTAGTCGTCGGAGCCATCGAGGATCACTAGTTTTACGCGAGGTGGTAAAATGGAAGATCTTGTGGGATCAAAAATATATCATTATTATTGAGACAAGTGAATAATCAAGTGAAATAGAACACTCGTCAACCATAAAGGTCATGGGTAACCGCGAGAAAGGGTACAATTAATAGACACACCCCAGCCTCCTCGGTTAGACACTGATATTTGGTAGAGAAGCATGCACAAATCACCCGTTTGTATTGTGATTGCGATTGATTTTGTCCATACATTCGAGAAGTCACTTTGCACCACCATTGTGGGTCAGAGGACGCCCAATTTCTAATCGCCAACCTATGTCGGCGAAATCATATGTGGTGAAAATTTGAAAGGTAGCGAGAAAAAGGAGTCAATGAGGAAATTGGATCCACTCTTGGTACACGCCTTACTCTACATAATCAGTCGAATGCCGTAGCCTTACAATGCGCCCATTAAATGGTTTGCGCAAGGTTGCTTAGTGAAGAAACCGCACAGCGCAGACTGAATTCTGTAAAAGGTTTGATAGGAAAGAGGCCGTAGCAAAATTACACTGGGTATGCCGATTAGCAAGTGCCGAATGAATTTAATCTCGTTCTGAGAGACCCGTAAGTTGTGTGTATCACCTCAAGCAGGGTGAACTCAGTGACGAAAGTAAAGCTTGTCGCCATTTGCTCCAATTTGCATAATATCTCCGCTAATGTCGATCACAAAGGTATTAATATGGTCAAAATCGTTTTCATTTGACACAAAACATGGCCAACTTCACGTCAATGGTCCATGCTACTCAGGAGAGTGCAATTAGGCAATCAAACACTGCCACATTGCAATTATGCCTTTGTTTATAAGTCCTGCGTTGGCTCGCTCCCCAGTTGGGTTGGTTCAAATCGGGGGCAGTTAAGGTCACTTCGTGCCCTTAGACTGTCTTCTTGCGTGAACTACCCCATAAATAGAATCACTGGGGCAAAAAGTTTTTAGGTTGTCTGACCAGACATTTGTGCAATTTTAACGGTCCAAAATAGGATGTCAATAAGTCCACCGTAGCCGCTCACGGCTGCAGTGATAAAGCATGCTGTTTTATGCTGCGCGGCGTAGTGTCTGGCTTTTCTACTCCCAGGTAAAACCACTTCGAAATGTATCAGCAATCAGATCACGTATTTTGTGGATGTAACGTCAGGGATGTTTTGTAATCACACCTGTATACTGAAAATGTCAGCGTTCTTTTAAAATGTTAGCCAAAAGTCCTGATACCTCTTTTTGTACGTCAACATCAATACTCCCTTGGTGGATATAAATATGAAATATTCTTAAATTAGTTAAGGTTTAAACAAAAAAGGATTCAATGTCCTTGCAATTCACTATTTCATTTTGAAGAAAGTCCCGACTCTTTTCAAATTCCGATGACGTAATCAGGGTAACTTTGCGCTTTTAGGACCTAAATCGAGTGAGGATGCTGGAGAGGATCAAATTCGGTGCCGAATGTGTCAGTCTAAGTATAGTTACCCTATTCCTCGTGGAGATTTTGCTCAAACTCTGGGTATTTGGTATAGGACTCTACCTTCACAGTCTCATCGAGATGATCGACGCAGCGGTTATTTTCGTTAGTTTTGCCATTGACGTGTACTTTGTGGTCACGGAAGTGCGGCGACATCACTCGGCATCTTCTCCGGTAGAGCACGGTGCCTTTGCGTCGACCCCAGGCCCCGACATCCCCCCTGACAGTACCATCAAGGTTCTTCCGGAGGCCGCCGGCTTTCTTGTTCTTTTCCGGCTGTGGCGTGTCGTTCGAATCGCCAACGGTAAGTTATGTCACTTTGTTTACATCAACATTCTATCAGTTGTAGGTATAACAAGTGTCATTCAAATTGTAGAATTCACTGTAACGATAATTATTGACCAAACACTACTAAATTACATTACGTTTTATTTGCTATTTGCGAAATCCTCACGTGGCACTCGGTTAAACTCACATGGTGGTCTCTGTGATTGTTTTGCTCACTAAGGACGATTTCAAAACCCTCAAATGGGGGCATGTGGGCAGTTAGGTTGAGCAAGTCCCCTGCCCTGGTAATTTTCTCAAACAGAGGTGCTCTTTGACAATCTCAATGATCCCGTTGCACCTTGTCAAGGCCATGTCAAGCCAGAAATGCGCCACCAAGCCTTAGTAAGTAAACGTTATCTCACCTGTGCCAGCACATCTCAAAATACTGACCTAGCTATGTTTGATCCCCAATTTTTTCCCTTCAAACTCCTATCTAAATGTAGGATGACATCTTTTTACTTTGTTAGGTTCAAAACGCATGGTGTTTTGCTTCACACAGAAAAATTGAGTTCCACCTTTTTTGAAAGGCCTTTCCCTTTTTGATCAGTAGATTTTGCACGGCCATTTTCCATTTGCTCTCTCAAGTTAGATCACCAAAGTGCTACCGTTCGGCCCGATTTAGTATAAAGGACTTCCCAACTATCCGTAGTGTGACTTTGTGAGAGGCACTTAAAAATCGGTGGTTTCCTGCTTTCGGTAATTAAATCATTTTTATAATCCAGTTAGGCTAGCACCGCCTTCTTTGCCTTGACAGATGGTCATAAAGTCCGTTTGTTGAATTCAAATCTTCATGTTTGCCCACTTGTAGTAACACGTTACTCCTTCGACGCAGTGACTATCGCTTAATATTGTGTTTCGTATTGTGAGCGCTACATTTACAGGCTGTTTTTAGCTGGATTTGATAAGTTCTCCCGAACACTAAAGTACATGCCTCGAGCGGTTGCGTGTGCATTTGTAAAAAAAAACAGAATGATGCACATATGAGGAGAACGCGCCCAAAACTCAGTATCGGAATGCGTCGGTGGCGACCAGTTCACTCTGAAAGAGATTCGGTGATGAAACTTGGGTAAATCCAAATCTTGATTGTGCTGACCTCGTCCCTGTCGATGTTGTGCCTAATTGTGAAAATTGATGATCCCCTGACCTGATATTACCAACCGCCCACGAACCCTACCATGTGTACCCGCCGTGTATTTCACTTTTTGTAATCATTCTATTTTACATTTTTGTGCTTTTTGATCCGCGGTACCTCACACTAGGTTTAAGTTGCTCCCTGATGACAAAGTGCTCTATTTTCGTTGATGTTTATATCCATTATAGTTATCCAAATTTGAAAAATGAACGTAGCACCGTGGTAACTGTGGCGGTGGTGAGGTTTGAGAAAAATGTTTTCTTATTGCATCCGAAGGTTTTCATGGAAAGAAATAACCATGTAGGTGTGGGCAGAAACACTGAACATTTCGGACTTAATGCCAATTCTTCAAAACATTCGTGCAAGTACCTCATGGGATAATTTCTTCCATTTTAAGTATTTAGTTTAGCTTAGCTCTTGTGCTTTTTTCAGTTATGATTTTCAATTTTCTTAACGTCTGCTCAAATTAAAAACGTTAACGATCTGTAAAGTATGCGACGCCAAATATGTTGGCTGCGAAGCTGTCGGCCAAAGTTCAACCCCTTTTATTGTTTAGTTTGGTCAGCATCTGCAGTCGTAGATTTTTAATCGTCGTGCCTCGTGCTCATTACAACAAACAAAAACTCGGGCGTGTAATGGCGTTAACATTACTCCATTCAAATTATTGAAACTAAACCTCTACGACATTGCCAGAAAGAACAAAATTTCCGCATAATTTTTCTTATTTGTTTATCGGAATCTACGCGCTCACATTGCATCTCTACCTGAGTGATTATCGGATTTCTCACCAAGTTCAACTGATCCCTTGACTTGACATAAATTCCACTTTGGTTAAACCGTTTTCACCATCCGAATTGCTTCTCATCAACAAAAATCCCACCAGAAATGGGATTTAATGGAGTGAACAGTGTTATCCCGTTTTCCATTATCCGCCTTGGTGGTCCGTTCTCGGCCATACAGCTGCATCAAAAGAATTTGTAAATTGCCTCGAGGTGTTAGAATTTGTCATTTAATTTTGCCCGTGCATTTACATGTGTAAAGTCGACAGGCAAAAGTTTTGAGGGTCATTAAATCGGGAACGTCTGTGCCAAGAATCAGCACTGGCAATTGCCTTAAAAGCTTAATACATTTGCAGTGTGAAATTTCGTTTCCCTTTGGTGATTTCTCAAAGCGACGGATTTGAGAAATATCAAAGTGCGTCAAAGACTCTGTCCTATACCTGAGCCACACTTTTACACCCTCTGTGAGCACAGTGATGCAAATGTTGGAGTGAAGAGTCGTATCAAAGAGGGTAATTTAAATTGCGAAAACCATACCCCCTACCACAATCAATCACAACAGTTGGATACAGTGTCAGATAAGTGTTTCATGTGAATTAACTGGACAACGATTATTGACTTGGTTATGGGCGAACGTAATGCAACCCATGTTTACTTAAGTAAGGTAAGCCGGCAAACCCTCAACGACACGTGTTTGTGTGGAGGATAAACCGAATAGTGTACTTCGTCTTGGGGTATTTTCGTCCGATCCTTATCTTACTTGCACACTGCCACTTGGGCGTCTTCAGATAGAAATAATTTCGAACCAAGAAAATTCCTGTCAGACAGCAAAACAATGCACTGGAGTATTCCGCGCTTTCCAGTTCTTTTTTGATTTCTACTTCGGTCTAATGAACGCAGGAACCGTGTGTACCGATGACCGGACAAAGGACCGAGACGGTTTTGTTTTTCGGTAATGGAATTTGGCGACAGACGTGTGTGTAAACAGGAAACAACAATTTCTTTGTTTAAAATTCAGTGAATATTGCGCTAAAAATGGACATTGGAGGCGTGGTTGAAGCATTCGAACGACAACGTAGCCGGGCATTTGTACAACTTTTCAACAATTTTGTCTAGTTTCTGTCCATATCTTATTGTTTATTTTCTCCGAGGCGACATTCCTGTCACTTAAGCACCAAACGTGACTTTATAATTTAGTTTATAAATGGAAAAAGCCTTGGACAGTATGGACAATAATTGAGATGTGATGATTCGTCCCTTTTGGAACATCCAATATAGTTTGAAGCATGCGTAACTGGCCGAAAAACCCCAATCCGGACTATTCCTTCTCTCAATTTAATACAATCAACTCCGAGACACGAAAATAGCACACTGATACACGTTTTTCAGCTGTTCTAGTCTCAGTGTCCACAACGCATGAGACGAAAATCCAGGAATTGAAGGAGGAACGCGACAGAGCAAAAAGGCGTGTGTCCCAGCTTGAGGGTTACATCCGCTCCCTTGGCGGCGACATTCCAAGCGACTCCTACCCCCAATCGGAATAGACGATGCTAATTTTGTACACTTTTTTATGATTTTTTCCTGAGTATTGTAGTTACATCCTGATTTTTTATCAAAAAAAAATAAACTGGAATTCAATAGCCTTATCTGCGTAGTAAGTATTCTTCTTCGCTTTTCTGCCAATGACGAAAATCAAACAGACTAAGGCAAAGTTTTAAAAAATTCTCAAAATTTATTTTATGAAAATAGCAAAAATAAAGTAAAACAGGAGAGCTCTAGAATGCATGTCTATCACTGGTTAAAATGCAGACGAGTTCGCATATCAGTGTTGAATCGATTTGCTGTCTCCAGAATCTGTAACAAGGGAATGACATTTTGTCTTCGGCCGCCTTCAACGACGGCCTGCGAAAGCATCGACTTGAGGAACGCGACCCGCGTCGTGAACTCGCTTGCCAGGTTACTTTCGGATACATCAGGCAACTCAAACTGCAGACATATTTCAAAGAGACCCGTAATTGCCTGGTTGAGGATCTGCTGCGACGCGGAGTCCTCCAGCAGACACAGTTGAGAAATACGTGTAAGAAACCGGGAGAAGTGAGCTAGGAGGGTGTCTAGGTTGCAACCGTTTGCCATCAGTGCCTCCTCCTTCATGAGGCTGGCGTGAGCGGCCTCAATGTGATCTGCAATGAATGTGTGAAGACCATTCACTACGAAAAGAAAGCGTGAGCGTAGAATGGCTAGTGTGTGACTGCATGCCGGGCGAGCGCATCTGGCGTTGTCCAGGGCCCACTTTGCACGTTTCAGCTTAAAATGCAAAAGAAATACGTCTCGTTACATTCCGGCCAAATAAACAGGGCAATTTCAGAGGAAATGGGTTTCGTCGCTGCACATGATGCCACATGCGTCACGATCACTGTGATAGCATGCTATCGACTAAAACACGGCGTCAAAGACCTTCTAACGTTGGAAGCAATCAATGACCCTGGACTCAAATTGCAGTTTTAAATTCCGGAAATGATCACGAATCCCAAGTGAAAAATATTTACCCGAGTTGTGCAACTAACTAAACGAACATGCTTTAATGTTAACTTACCATAAGCAGGAACTTAAATACACGGTTATAGATATCTAAACCTTGCTCCGTTAACACAACATTCAGCGGCCAGGGAATTTCAATTTGAAGTGTTAGCGAGTTGATTACATCGCAACCACATGGGCCACCACGAAGAAATTCTCGCGAGGCTTCGGCACACGCGACAATACAAATGCGCTCATACATCCAAGAATTTTCCCCGCAAATGAGGCCAAGTTGTGATTTAAGTAGGCGGTTAATGTCCAAGTCAAACTGATCATCAGTGCATGACGAAAACAGTCCTCGGCAAAACTCGTACATCCGATCGCCAGCGCGGAAGAGGGCCACGTCGGCAATGTGATTAAGTGCGTAGATAAGTGTGAACTCGTCATCTCGCTTCTCAGTCGCAAGTTGGCCAACAGCAATCAGTGGTCCCTTCAAGAGGCAAGAGCATAGGTGGGCAGACGCCTTCTGTAAAATAACTTTCATTTCTTCCCTGAGGCATCGCAGAGTTCGGTGGGGTAGGTCATCAGTTTCCTTGGACACAGATGCACAAGTAGTGTCGCCCTTCGTAAACGAAGACATTTGCATATCCTTAACAAGTTCACATAGCTCAGGATCATCAAATGACAACAAACTAGACGAGGGCTCTGGTTCCACAGGTATCTTTTCTGACTTTTTAGAAAGTGGCCTGGACTTAAAAGTTGCCAATAGTTCTGCATTCCCGAAAGTAGATGCGATGGCTTTAAGAAGTGCAAGTGATTTGACACCAATAACAATGTCGTTAACTACTGGCCGAAGTATATTTGGTACGTTATCGATTGACAGGGAAATGCCACATTGCCAGAACATCGGGTGGCTTGGAGAGATGCTGGAACTAAATTTGACGAATGGAATAGCGGAAAGACAATTTCGTAATTCTGGTTCACTCATCATGTCAGACAAGTAGGCATCAGTCGTAGAGATATGTACATTACTAATGAGGTTAACCATATATGGGTCAGACAAGCAATGCCTAAATGTACAGGAAAGCTCTTCGAGTCTATTTAATAAGAGAACAGGCGTATTATGCGATTTAATAGCACAGAGTTGGGGAGAACAGACTTGTAACAGTAGAGAAGCCATGAATGCAAGACGCCGGAACCAAGACTTCAACCGGTTAGCCAGATTAATGAGGGACACAGGGGGTACCTGTGGCAGTCTCGCGTCCCTTTCAATAGATGCGATAACTCGATAAAAATCATCCTTTAGACGCGAGCAAGACTCTGCTAGACGAGTGAACGGGAGCGACACAGTACCGACAGGGGAAAGAAGGACAAACTCCGTAAAAGCACGAATCTGCAAAACACATGTCGAGTACTTGGCGATCGAATAAAGGAAAGAATCAAGAGCCCCGTATGTTAGATGTGTGAGACAGGCAGGGTGACGAAAATAAAGGCATACATTTTTAGTGAGAATTTCAGAATCCGTATAGCAAGTAAAAAGGAAACTTTTCTCAGCACCCAATAGTACCCAAAGACACTCTCGCACGACCTGGTATTCTGAGAGGTCGATACGAGACTCATGTTTCTGTGCAGAAGACGATGAAAGCCATATCTCTTTGAACCTACTGTTTACGTCGGGTCCAACCTTAACACGGGTTTTGTTCACCCACCAATATTCTGTTTGTAATTGTTGAGCTAACGAACTTTCGTCAAGATTTTCCAGTTCAGAATGAATGGGCGTGGTAGAAGGCACCTCGTTCCATGGACAAGGAAGGACTTTACGACCGAGGGTGATTGATGAAGTTGCCTCCCTATCAGACGTGTCGCTCATTTTCCAGAGACCTGGTAACGGAAATAGAATTTGTTGAAAGTTTGCGTGACGTCACGAATACAGTCCAAATGATAATATTGATACGTCTTTGATTGTAAATGCCGTATTGAAATAGCAATATAATAATGAAATCCGGACTGTAGTTTATGTACATGAGCGCGTAGCAATTATAAATGGTTTTCGACTATCGTCATTTTGGCATTTTTATAGGCCGAAACTCACTCTTTTGACTTTCTCTGATCCCAAAAGGACTCTCGTAAAATGTTCGTTTCACGGGTCATCGTTCGTTTTGTTGGCATGGAGCTGCGTAAAGGGGATGAAAGGAATATCTATGGCAATCACTTAGGAATAGAATTGGTGGATACTCAAAGCATTACCACGTGGACGTGACAATTTAAAAAGGACTGCTTCCTAAGCACAGCACCAACCCACCATATATACTCTGATTTGCAACCAAACACTCATTCCGTATCAACACATTACACGGTACAAAAGGCTAAAATATAGTTTGGGGGAAGAGGAAAGTGTAAACAACTTCTTAATATCCATTGCACATGGATTGTTGAGTAATATTATGAGTGCGCCAGGTGGCCGTACAAGTCAGTTTTAAGGAATCCCTTTAAACTTGAAACGTAGAATTAACAAATTCGGCCAAATTTGGTATTGTGTAGCCGCAAGGAACACCGATAGACATTTACATGGTCTCGGTAAAGTTTCCGACCTCCTTTTCAATGGTGCTAGGGAGCTAAATTGTGTGGAATTCTTGAAGCACATTAAAGCTTACATAAATTGTCGCCAATGAACTTTACTGACAAGACGTAAGCCAAGTGATTAGTTAGTGCACGACAGCTACACTGTTGGTACCTAAGAATCAACGAACAAGTCGTGGTCTCCGTCACCGAAATCGGAGTTGAGATGTATACTGAATCTCCTACCCGGGATGCTAAATTTAGGCCAGAGGGCAGCTGAGGATTTCGGGTTAGAAGTTTCGTGTAACAGGCGACGAAACCATTGAGAGCTTAGCAAGTAAACTTCATTTATCCTGACAAAGAGGAACCGGTTGTCAAAAGATTGTTAGAAAATACTTGGTCATTTGTATTTTTTAAAACCACTTTAAGGAAAGTGACACATTGCCACAAAAATAGACGTTATAGGTATATTTAAATAAGCTACAGAGCTCAAGTATTTTATAGAGAAAAGGGGTTAAAAATTCCAGTACAATTCGGTTGACACATGCCTACTGATACCAAGACAACTGGTATCAATTGCAAGATGTGCTGCTAAAACATTGTATTGTGGACTGCCTGAAACCTTAATATCAAGTAGTGTTTTATAAAATAAATGCAGTAGCACAAATTCTATTCCTCAAACTCACAAGAATGCAGTCAAATAAATGACAACAAAACCATACTTGACGCGACATTTTCAGTACATTTTAAAAAAAGTACAATTAAATGTTATAGAGGAATCTGTTGGTGTACACCTCATTTCTTAAATACCAATTAATCATGCTAGCTTCGTCTTTTTTTAAAACAGTTAAAGTTAGAAAATAGCTATGATATATATGATATCGCTTTCGAATTCAGATGCAATTTGTGGATTAGTAATTCGAATCTAAACACAGATTTTGCAAATATTATTATTTATGATTTTAGTTGCATGTCCTTTTTAGACTATCATGTCAAGCAATTAATGGTCAAATTATATAAACGAATTTCAAGCATCTGTCCTGCTTTAATATACTATGCTTTTTCAACAACCACTGTAGCGAAGAACAAATAATGAACGACAATGACAAAATGGTAAGATGTAAAAAACTGGAACATTACCTCTTGGGCATTTTGTTTCAAGGTGCTATGTATTTGAATTTAAAATTTGCAAAATGTAGAAAGGATGCTGACAGTCATTGTATAAATGTGTATTCAATAAAATGATAAACTATTTGCCCATTGAAAACTGGAGTTTATGCAGTTGCTTTTTGTCGTACTACATGTACTATTGTCTGCCGGCAGTTGGTTTTTTAAATAAGGTAAATTTGTAGGAATGACAAATATTTTCTAGTCTTTAATTTATGTTTAATCAGAGGAGTTCGAGTCAGTGCAATGACTCTAATGTTCCATGAATGGTAGCTTTATACTGAATTATCTGTGCTTACGAGATACATCAAGTGTTGTGTAGAAAACTGATAATATTATAATAAGCGCTACTACACTTTTGTGCCCGTCATTACAATCTAATTGTTAACGGATACCTTAACTTAATAGATATTAAAATTCCCCTAGTTATAACGCAAACCTGGACATACCATATAAGGACCCTTTACCCCAAAAAAAGTTCAGTGCTGGTAATTTTTAGGTCCTTAGAAATTACTCCGTCTTCTCTGTAAATGTTTCTTCAGAAGAATATGTACGGACCTTCATCTCTTTTGTTTTATTTCTTTTTACATTACACATTTTGACCGACTCTCACTTGAAGATTGCTTTTGCAAACACGTAAAAAGTTTAAAGTTAGATTAATTAAGTTAGCATAATGAGCTGTTTTAATTGTTTTATTTCATGAAATTCATCCAAATTTTGGTAGCTTATTCATTTTGTATTTTAAACTACCTTTTGACTTTGTTCAAGTCCAGTCAACTGTAATGAGCTTGCGTTTGTTTTATTTTGGTTGAACACTTTAAGACATAATTCACGACGTCAGCAATAAAGTGGCATTATGTCCGCTTTACCAAATGAACTATCTTTCCTTATTTGACGATTTCCCATTTGCCATCGAAGGTTATACTTTTTTTGTATTTGTATTAAGCTAAGTTTAGAATATAAATAATATGCAGTCACATTCTTTTAAAATAACCCTGAATGCGAATTTAATCACATTTACCAACGTCCACAGGAAGCCTATTGTTGCTAAATGGTATCATAACTGAAAAAAGTTAATGAATGGTTAATGTAGAAAATAATAATGACATTTTCGTTCATAGAAGACCGTCGATCATTTTCTTCCTACCTAATTTGTGCTAATTTCTGATGGTATGTGATATCCTTCCCATATCCTTCTCATCTCTTTTCTGTAATAAATATTTACCAAACATTCAGCAATTTCCTTGGTAACAAATGATCTTTTCTGTGAGTGACTACATTTAAATAAATTATTGAATTTACAAAGGCAGCCATATTACCTTGTCCATTTTACAACCCTTCACAAGAAAGCCGACATTTGAGGCAATTCGCTTCAAATGTGAGCGTGTATTTTTGCATTAGCACCGAAGTAACGTCCAATGCCGTTTTCTGATTCATTCTAACGTAATTCAGTAAGCACCTGATCATTTTATTAAGGTATCAAAATTTCAAGATATTTTATTGGTTTAAAATATAGCGCAATTGCTAATTCAAGCTATTAATTATCCCATTTCCTCGCTCTGATTTCCTCTAAAAACTGCAGAGGACACGAAACCGCATTGACTTTTGCAGTTGAACCATTGACTTCATCCGTTTTATCGAAATCATACTAAGTTAAAGAAAGTTGTGCACATAACACCGACTTCTCAAAATTGTAAATGAAGTAGGCTTTTGATTATTGGAACCACTTCTATTCCCCCTGATTTGTGGACGGATCTTACAAAAGGCTTCTTTTCTAGTGAACGCTATATACTGACTCTCCGGGTGTGGAGACTCTGACTTTTCACATTCACATTCCCTAAAAACTAGCCATGTACAGTTTTATTTGAGGAGGGTCTGGCGGGTTAACTTTTTCCGAACTAGGCATGGTCTGAAATTGCTAAATGTAATCAGTGGCACAAATACCCAATTAAGTGAATCCCCTATCCCCAACCATTCAAAACTCACTTCCAAAAGATAACCAAATTAGTGCCCATTCAAATAGTTGAATTCAAAAGAAGAAAGCATAAGAAACCGCTGAATACTAATTGGCCATCAATTTCTCCAATTTTTCCTGAATAATGCAGCTAATTTCTTTGATTCTTTTGTAGATTACCTCTTACAATTCGTGACTTGGTTTCAGTAAATAGAAATCGTTAGTATTTAGACGTGTTTTCATTAATGTCTGTCTCGCCATTGTCCTTCCTCTTGCTATATCAGACATTGCCAATGACCTGAACAGTTATAAAGAATTTGAGGTGGTTAAATTTGTCAAAGCCGAGGTGTGAATAATCGCATTGCGTTCTACCCTACGAAATCGGCAAATCCTTAGATTCGATAAAATAGTTAATTTTTATCTATTACGGCATGATTCGACACGTAGTACCCAGTGGAAAATGAGAAGACTTGAGGCAATGGAGGCGACCGTTTATTGGACCGTCATGCACAAGACACAGTTAGCATGTCCGAGTATTTCTAAGTGTACAAGTCCGTGATGGTTAATGGAGCGGTGACAGTAGGTGATAGCGGCAACAAGCATTAGTGAAGTGAATAAAGGACCGTGTGATAGGGGAAAAGAAAGCGTATCCAGATAAGTATGTTGATCTGATAATTGGCGCCGAATTACCATTGTTGGGGGTGAACTCACGGTTCTCGACTTGATTGAGCGCCGGGCTATTAGGATGAAATTCGTTTACTTACACCAGACGTCTACAGCGCGTCAGTTTTCTGAACGCAGTAAATAGCTTTTTTCATCACTTTCTTATTCCAATTTATGCATAGGAGCAATATCACGAAGTATTACTCCACATGAACCGCCGGAAAGATCAGTCGCCCATATCGACAAATTTAGCATTATTAAAGTAACTATTGCACCACCGAAAATTGGTGATTCATCACGTTTAATTGTCATCCAAGCCACAAAACGTATGATGTCAAAACGCACATACCGGCATTTTCACCCAAAATGACTTTTACCTAAAGTTAGCCCCGAGTTTTCTTTTCGAACCTGACCCATCTGCATTGTACACACTTCCCAAAAGGGATTTGAATGACCTACACATTCTTAGCGAATCCTGCATTTTTAATTTTGGTTTCCCTCACAGAGAGCCGCGGCTTGAATGCTAT